ATTATTATATTGAAAAATGCGTGTTGCTAAAAATAAAGAGAAAAATGGATACCCAACAAGGGATGTGAAAAGTATGGAATATTTTCGAATTTTTGAAAAAAAAAAAAATTATTTTAACTAATAAAGCGAAATTTTATTGCCATACTAACAGAAGCATAATTTCAGTAGAGTAAATTGATGTTTTATGGTTTATAGTTAAAAAATAAGAGAGAAATTCTGGTTGATTTTGAAGAGGTGAAGCAAAATCAAAATGCCAGGTGATGAATCGGAGAAATTGGTGATAGAGTACAAGGCGTATGCTAGGTGGGGCTATTGGGGAATCTGCGCGATGTTTATTATGGGCGGATAATTGCTATTAGCCTCGGCAATTTCTGGGCCTCTGTTCGTTTGCAGCCTTCGAAAGATCTGGTCATTTTGCCTCGTCCTACTCATTATCTGGTCCAATTTGATTCGCTTCCTCACTTGGTGTTTTTCTTTTTCCCTCTATTGATCTCGAAATATGTGGTTAAGCTGTACTAAATTGTGGTTTAAATTATTGGATTGTTTACACTTGTGATTTGTTGATTTTGATGCTGACATCTCGAAATGCACATTTGTTTTGTGTTTGATTGTCATTTGAATTGTGTCGTATGAGTTTCTTATTGTTGGCATAAATTGATGTCCACAGAATTTTAGCGGATATTAGATTCTGCATGGTTTATAAACACATTGGGTACTTTCCACATCATAATGATATGATTTCTTGTTTTTTTTTTCTTTTTTTTTTTTTCATCTTCCATAAAGGTCAACTTGTATTGTAACTTCTTTTATTGTAGGTGAATCGGTTGCAAGCTAAAGGGTACTATGGAGGGGTTCGTCTGCTTATGGCGATTTTTAAAGTTTATCATATATACTGCATTAAAAATAGCATCAGTCTACACAGAGAGAATTTTGCGTTGTTCTGTGATACTAATATCCCTCGCCAGGTAAGAGCCGAAGTACTAAAAATGTACATCTTTTGAAGAGTTTGAACGCTATCTTTCAGTAAAATATTGAGAAGAAAATACCAATTATAATTGGCAACCTTAGTCTTAACTCTTACATTAAAGGCCACGGAATGCGAATGCTTATTGTATTGTTCTTGCACCATGCATGAGGTGAAGTGGACGTCCAAAGAAAATGAAACATTCATGATACAATTGATTTGGTAAGATATGGGAGACCGTAGACAGGTTTCTGAATTAGCAACTGGATTTTTAAATTTTAGAAATAATGATGCCAGTTATTTGTTCCAATTCAGCTCTCTTATGCATGCTTTCTTTTTGTCAGAGGAAGTAAATTGTTATCTTCTATGTCTGATTGATTCTCAGAAGTTAAAGTATTCCTTTATTTTTTACTCTGTTCCGCTGTTGATCATATTTATAATTCGGAAAACCATTTTATTTAATCAAAAATGCAACTGAATTATAGTTGTTTTAATGTCTCAGATGGGGCTTTCTTGTTCCAGTGCTATCGTTTGCGCTACTCTGAGCTGCCTGCTTGACTTTTATAGTGTCAGGCATCTGGTTAAAATCGAGGTCAGGCCAAACCTAATTCTCAATGCTGAGAAGGAACTTGGTATTGTTGCTGGTCTTCAGGATTGGGTTGCACAGGTCTATGGGGGCCTTGTGCATATGGTATGCAACGAGACAGGCACTTCTAATCCGTGCAATACCATCTTTATCCAGCACCTAATATTATTATTTCTTTAGATTTAGCAAGAAGTATATGGAAGATCTGGGGCATGGAATATATACACCTATGGATGTCGCCTGTCGGTCTCCTCCCACCACTTCATCCAATCTATGCTGAGAATCCTAGTGATTCTGGAAAGGTAAGCATTGTAGCACTGTTCTTTTCTCATCTGTAAATAATAAATATCAAGACATGCAGTTGTTCTGTTTATTGACCCCGACAGTTTGTTAAATAAAAAGAATAAGACAATTTTGACTTTGTCATTTATGTTCATAGACTATGTAGGCTACATTAATAGTTTTTTCATCACATGTACTATCCAAAGGTAAATCTATTGAAAGATCCACAGAAATCATATCTTCTGTGATAAAGTTTAGCATAAGAAAGAAAATAGAAATAAGGAGAAAAAAGAATATAATCTAGATTTATGTTTCTGGTTCTGGTATAGATGGTTTTGGAATTTATTCTTGTGTTTCCATAACACAATCTGCTCAAATTTCCTTCATGAAATTTGTTGACATATTGTTCAAATTTTCATTTTAACTATTTTGAAAAGAAAAAGAAGTAATTCCATAAGCGAGGAATGAACATGATCTGAAAACGGATGTTTCTGGGACCTTCTTTCTTGCATATTGACCACACGAAAAGGCTAGTTGTAAGCGCATATTTTGATGAAATATTGATGTATTGCAGGTACATACTACAGTTCAACAAAGGTGGTTAGATGGTGATGGTTCATAATATCGCCCATGGAAGAGGTTGCAAAGATTGCTTTACAAGGACAAAAGGCATTGCTTGATAAGGACAATGTCAAATTCGCAAGCCTCATGAACCATAATTTTGATCTGTGGAGGTAAGAGATGTATCCTAGGTGGTTCATGGAGATGTTTGAATTGTATCCAGTGTTTTAAAAAGTGTAAAGCTTAGCTAAGCGAAAAAGTGTAAAGCGTGGCTAAGCGTAGAGTCGCAACTTCAAGTTTTACGAACTTAAGTGAGGCTTAGGCATAGAAAAGCGTTTTCTTATTTATAATATTAGATTTAATTTTTAATCATTTAAAAATTATTTAATAATTAAAATGATACATATTAAACATCTAAAATTATAATAACTTCTACCATTAATCAATTATATAATTTTCAAGTTTTCGAAATGTAAAAGTTAGAATATTTTTCATAGTTTCAATTTTCAACTAGGTAAGTCCACTTAATATATTTATGAAAACTTTTTACATGCTTTTGGATTTTATAATAAAATGAGTCTCAATATCATAATAATATAACGTAAATAACATCAAAGCTTAAATTTTATTTAACTACTTAAATAAAGTCATTTTTAACTTTTGTATATATAAAATCTTTTAAAAACTTGAAATTAAAGTCAAATGAAAAGGTTTTTTTTTTTTTTTTTTTTTTTTTTAAAAAAAAAAAAAGGTTTTTTTTTTTTTTTTTTTTTTTTTGAAAAATAATAATAAGCTTCATTTACGGTCGACGAAAAAATTGGAGTAAAAAATTCAACTATTTAGGAATTGAAGGAAAAAAGCGTTTAGGCACGAAACTAGGCGTTTTGCCCGAGCTTTAAGACAGGCGTTGCTTAGACAAGCTTTTTAGAACACTGCTTGTATTCGTTACATTTTTTCAACTATTTGTTCCTATAAGCTTACTGTTGTAGGCACAAGTTGTATAATCTTTGGTACTTAAGATTATAATACAAGATTGGAAATTAAGGTTTCATTTAGTGTCTTAATTTGAACTAATTTTAATCTTCTAAAATGTGCTCTTACATGTCCCTTCTGTGCCACATGATGCACTATTTTGTTACTTGTGAACACCATTAATATCATTCTTGTGACCAGCTTCTCCATTCTGATCACCTTTATTGTTTTTTTAACAGAGAATGTTTGAAAAATATGAAGTTACAATTAATCTAACATGTTCCTATAAGTCAATTTTCTCGTGTGGGAAAAGGAAAAAAAATTATGTTTTTAAAAGTAATTTTTATCTTACCGTGTTTTGATTGATAAGAAAATTCTTTATGGTAAAACTTACAATTTTTTATGCTTAGCAGAACGTGCTAAGTTTGGTCAAGTGGCCTCAACGTTTGCATAATGATCTTGTATATAACTTTTGTTTTGTGGTTATGACAGGCAAATGTTTGGAGAGGATACCATTGGGGCACTGAACTTAGAGATGGTTGAAGTTGCCAGACGGGTCGGTGCTGCATCAAAATTTACAGGCAGTGGTGGTGCAGTCATTGTGTTCTGTCCCAAAGGGCCTTTACAAGTTCAACTTTTGGAGGCTGCATGCGAATAAAATGGTTGTCATTGAATCAGTTAATGTTATGCGATCTTTACTAAAAGAAATTGACCTTGAAACTCTGTCATCGAAATGAAGACTATGAGAGACTTGATTATATTTTTTAACCTCGTGACCATGAACAATGAGATCTATGCAATAAATGTTTCTGCATCTTTATCAAGTGTCATCAGATTCTTTCAAGAGTTATATAAATCATAATGGCATGGTTGATAAGGATGGAGGGTTGGATATTACTATGATATTGTCGAGTCATATCCAATTCCATGATAAATGCACAGTGCATACAAGTCTGCAAAGCTTGCTCGAGAATGAGTTGTATGATTCGTTTTCTTGTCTAAAAGGCATAATCATACTTTGTCTTGTTTTCTCGACTAAAAGGACTTAAGTCTAATATCAAGGGAGCAAACTGGCTTTGAGCCACCATTATGCAAATGTCAAAACAACTAAGATCCTCTTGTCCTGTGTGAGGATGTGATGAAGAAGGGATTCCCATCTGATTGAAGGTTTGCTGTGTGGAGATTTGTTCACTTATGGATGGGAGAAATGTAGCCACAATGGTTCTTGGCCAGGTAGTGAACCTCAGAACGCTTGCATTTTCCTCTGTTCAACATTGCATTATATCAGTAAAGAATTTTTACCCACTACTAATTTCTCATAGTTGGAGCTTGTATCTTGCCGCAAACCTTCACGGAACGTGTAGTAAGGGGTTGAAGAGTAACGTGTAAAAGAAGTTAAAATTTCATGCATTATAGCTAAGCATTTAGCAATCTGATGGATAGGATACAAACTTCCCATCACTAACGTGACAAGAGAGTGAAAATTCAAAGAATCAAAATTAAAGTTCTCTTGCCACGTTTGAGCAGTTCAGGAGATCAATTCCACACCACTGCATCGACATTCAAGTAAAGAAACTGCAATATCAACAAGCAATGCATTCAAGAACCAAATATGGTAATCCACATGCCTAGGCATAGCGATTTGGAATCCCAGATTTCATCTCAAATTTACAAAATAACTTTATCAAAATACAAATATCTCATCTCACTCCCCCCATTTCTTTGCAGCCTTTGTAAGCACAAGAACAGGCAACAAAATTCTTGAAAAAGATCAATCACAAACCCTAACTGCACCTACGGTTGAAACATTTGTCTTGGATAGATGATACAAATTCCTAGAACAAACCTATTACTGTTTAGTTAATGCTTCAATGAGCTCGCGTGGCGATGATTCCCAAATCGGAAGGTCAGTGAATTGCTGCTTCAATCTCTCTTCTTGGGCACTGCACAATGCTTCTGCTAAATCGCACAGATTCGAGACGTCTCGAATTATCGCCTCTTGTGCCTCAGCCTATCAATTGAAAATAAGAATAAATAAATAAAAATAAAAATGAGCTGAAATGCCGCAAATCGAAACCCTAGAGAGGGCGTAAATCAAGCAATACCTGAGAGAAGAGATCGTCAATGAGTCGCCGGTGGGTAGAACCCGACGTGGACTGTGCCGACGGTAAAATTGAACTACTGGCTTCGTCAAAACGTCTCGTGGAATCCACTTCTCGACGCTTTTGCATTTGTACATTGGCGTTTTCTTGCATTTCCTTCATTGTGTTCGACAAAAGCTCCCACTGGCGGATTTCTTTCAAATACTTGTCTTTGAGTTTGAGGAGAGCCCTTTTCTTCCTCCGACGACGGTTTTTCTCTTCCACAGCCGGATCTGGCGGCTGCAGAGGTGCGGCGGAGGAGGTGGGGTCGAGGCGTGGCCGCTTCTTGCGCTTGTATACAAAGCCATCGTCGTTTATTAGTTCCCATTCCTCGTCATCTTCCCGTTGTACTGTAGACATGGAATCGAATTCGGAATTCCCAATCCGAGCGGGAAAGATGAATATTTGGAACAAACAAAAAGATGGACTCAACGAAAATTTGAGTCGAGATGAAGAAGAACGAGATTTCAAATTTTCAACCGAGTCCAAGTGGGTTGTGCATGATGTCTCTGTCTTTCATTTTTTTAATATTTTCATCCATATTTTCACATTTTAATTTTAATTTTTTTACGAAAAAAGTCATTTTCATCTTATTTCTCAAAAAAAAAAAAAATAATAAATAAATAATATACCATCCACTTTCTAAAAAATAATAATTAATTAATTAAAAAATAAATTGCAATTATACTCCCAAACATATTAAAAAACTGCAAATAAATCCAAATAGTATTAAAAAGGTAATTAACACAAAAACTTCCTTACCTCTCAATATTGTTGTGCCAAACATTCATACATTTCATTTTTTGTCATTTTCACCATTATTTTCACATTTCATTGTGAAGGTTATCATTTTTTTTTTATCTATTTTTTCAATTAAAAGCTATAAAATAACGACTATACCCTACTATTTATATAAAACAAAAAGGAAAGAAAAGAGAAATAAAGAACAATTCGCAACTATACTCCCAAATTTTTCAAAAAAATTACTCAGACCAAATGCTTAGAATCAAACAAGTATCAACAAAAAAGAAAAAAAAAAGATTTAGAGCTCTTTGTTGATCAGACGACATCCAAATAAATTTAAAATAAATAATTAAAAAAATTTTAAAAAAATTTAAATTATTTATTTGAAATTTCTCTGTACTTTTTTGAAAAATTTAGGAATATAGTTTCAATTTGATCTTTATTTTTCTTTTATTTAAATAGGAGACTATATTCGTCATTTTACAGCATTTAGTTGAAAAAATGGATGAAAATGATATTTTCACAAAAAATGTTAAAAAACGAAAGATATGAACGTTTTACACAATAATATTGAAAGGTAGAGAAGTTTTATGCTAATTGTCATTTTAATAATTTATTTGGACTCGTTTGTAATTTTTTAAAAAGTCTGAGAATATAATTACAATTTGTTCTTTAATTTTTCTTTTTCTTTTTTTATTTAAATAAGATGGTATATTTGTCATTTTACATTTTTTTATTGAGAAATTAGATGAAAATGAACTTTTTCGCAATGAAATGTGAAAATACCAAAACACGAAAGTTATGAATATTTTGCATAATAACATTGAAAGACAAAGACGTTTTGTGTTAATTACCCTTTGAAGAAATGACCTTTGAAAAACATTAAAAAAAAATTCAAAACATTTTAATTGACAAAATGACAAAATTACCCTTCAATTAAATAGCAAAATAATCTCTCAATTTCCCTTATTTTCACCTTTCTTTCTTTCTTCTTCAATTGCATTGTAAAAATCCTATAACTGTTTTCTTCTTCACCTTAGTTTCTTGTAGTTTTCAAGATTATAAAAGCCTCTTCTTTCATTCAAGTTTATTTTACACTACTTCATCCTGATAGGTTAAAAAGAAATTCATCTATTAGCATTGTTATAAAATGAAAAATGTATGAATAATGTGATAAAGAAATTGCTAATGAAACTAATGAATGGATAATCGAGTGAAACATGTTTATTCTAGTATCATAATATGTTTTGCACATTTAGAAGGTAGACAAAAGAACAGAAAATTTCATTTACCTCTCCTTTGAGGTATGGGTTAAATTAATTGATAAGGAGGACAAGTTGAGGTACGATAAGCTTTTTGCTCCTATCCGAAAGTATATCTTGTGGCATTGGCATTATTTTTTGTTTCTCATTTGTGATAGTCACGTATTTTTAGTGTTTTGCATTTTACACCAGGTAAAGATGGATGTTCAAAACATAATAAACGCGGAGATTGGTGTAGAATAAAATTAATTAGTGATCGGGTTAAAGTTGGGGATTTGGAGTCAACAAAGGTATATAGAAATTGCAATTCAATATTTTTACATTTCGAAATGTGCACTATATTGGATTGAATTGTGTTTGATCAACTTTTGTAGGTGATACTACAAAGCCTTTGATCAGTATTTCACATGTCTGTCAATCTGTTGAAGAAATCAATGATGCTGAGGATCCGAATTATGAATCAACTCTAGGAAAAGGGCATTGGATCAAGAGAAGAGCAGCCATGTTGCTTCTTACATATACAAATCCCTTAAAGAGGAGAAAATCATCATACAACACATGGACTCGGCCTTATAGTATTAGGGAAGGGGTAGGGACGTATCTACATATATTTCATCAAGATTGTGCCATGTTGGATTGTCATTTTTGGCAACTTGTCGAGATAGCCCACACTGAAAATGGGTACACCTAAAAAGAAAAAAGATGACTACAGTTTGACTAAGAGCTCGTCAATTATGTTGAAGGGACTTCCCTAGTGCTCACTAAACATTGGAGTAGTGACATACGTTAGGGTGTTCATCATTAGAGGTTTCTGTTGAAAAAACCAAAAATATAGGTGAAAACTATAGAATGACACAATTGGCGTTATAGACATAAAAATGACCATTGTGCTGTTACATGTGTAAACATAAGGGTAAGCATCCACGTCCCATTTGTGTTGGGAGAATTAATAAGTATAACTTATTTACATTATAAGATAAACCTGACCTATATAATAGTTGAGAGATACGTTCATTAACTTAATCGACATATATGAGTTGAATGAATTTTATGATTTTTCTAAAATTAAATTTAACCCCTTAAATTATGTATGAATGCAAGATCTAAATTAACTAAAATTAATGTAATGTTATAATTAAATGCAAGTTTTATAAAAATATAATTATGAAAAGCGTACTAGGATCCTGAATCATTTTATATAAATCCCCTAACCCAGAACTTAAAGCGATTCAATTACTAAGATCAATATTTCTAATTTGTTTAACAATATCCCTCAAGTAGAATTAAACATATTCTTACATGTGATCCTACTATATTTCTATAATGGATGTGAACAAATAAAATGCCTTAAAGATTTATGAATACTTAAAAATCATGTAGAGTATATCGGTATATTTTCATCTCATATGGAACTCTACGACAATTGACACTATTTCTAACCTATTTTCAATCTCTCGATTTAAAAATAAATCACAAAACTCATACAACTATTACGCATAGAATTGTAGAGAAAAAGAAATTCATATCAAATATTCAAGAATTAAAAATGTGCTTTAATGTAAAAAACAATATAAGATGAAAAAATTAAATGTTCATGATATAAGTTTCATCATAATTTTAGCACTAAAATAATCTAACCTAGCATTATATCGGAATTAAATACATAAAGGATAAAAGACATCGCCAATAAATTAACTAAACGAGGTTAATTTCCAAAATTCTTACACAAATATTGATGAATTATTCTCCAAATTGCTGCAGCCGTCCGTCTCTCAACACTTCTCCAGCCGCCGGCAGCTTTTTAATCCCAAAGGATGTCCAATTTATTTATTTATTTATTTATTTTTCTCTGTATTCGTGTATCGTCTTTCTTTTTAGTCCCTGTTTGATTTTCATTACTTGAAAATGATAATGGGGAGAATAATATTTTTTAGAAAAATGAGTGGTTAAAAAATAAGGAAAATTTTTTGATTTACGTATAATATTATTTTATGGAAGATTGTGTAGTTAAAAATAGAAAAAAAAAATGAAATATAATGTAATTTAATTTAATGGGGATCAAACATGGCTTAAACATCAGCCGCCAATAGTTGTTATTCTGTTTCTCTGTATTTTATTCTCCAATTTGAGTCCCCTTTGCGTGTATATAAGTTTTCTCTCTGCCACGCAATTATTTTTAATTCAATCAGCCCACTTTTGCAGTATCAGTCCAAGTGACTATTGAATTTGATTTCAAATAAGGTCGAACTAAGCCCATTTAGATTAATGCTTGCTTTCAAGTTCTTAATTCTTCCATGAAATGCAAGTTAATCCTTTTCTTCATTCTTCCCTTGATTTTGATCCTTCAATTTTTATTCAAGTGAGATTTAGTCTACAAACTTCTATTTAATAGCCAATTGATCATTTTTCTTTTCCGATTGCTTTGAAAAGATTCCAACACCGAAATAACAGAAAATCAACTTAAGTAAAGTTTAACACTTTGACGGTATAAAAACTTAGTAATATGTTCAAATAAATACACAAATTGCATTTGTCAATGTTCAATCCTTTCACATTACATACAATAAGAAATCCATTATTAGAGGTTGTTTAGTTGAAAGAAATCCAAAATAAAGACGAAAACTACATAACAACACAAGCGTTATTACTGGATAAGAAAATAGCCATTATGTCGTTACATGTGTAAACACGATGGGAATAAACGACACCACGTAGATGTCAAAAATAATTGATATTCAATCAATAATATGTAGTTATTGAACAACATTGTCGTATTATCTATGTAAAATAGTAAAAGCGACACTGGAGCTATTTTACTATATACCAAAAAACAACCTGTATGTCTTTATTACTTCATCATTCATCCTAAGACAATGAAAAAATCAATCTTTCTAAATATTATAAATAATAGTTTGCATTTTCAAAATTACAAAAGCACTACATCATAACACCACCAACCTCTTTAAGGGCTTGTTTGATAGTGATTATGAATTGATTTTTTTATCATTAGAGAGAAAAGTGGGTTCCACCTATGATTGAATAAATAAAAATAACGACGAAAATAGTGAAATAACGGTCAAAAAATTGATTTTTTTGGGTGAAAATTTGCTATTAAGTGGGGGCTAAATTTTAAAATATGCCTATTACATTTTAATTTTAAAATGAGAGAACCAAACAAAAAATGAACTAAACATTGGATAAATTAAAAGAATGTCTGTTATTCATGTCTCGCTGAGTGGTGCACAATTTGTACAAGTGGTATTATGGAAAATTTTTGATAACCTGCTACACTTGTGAGATTTGAGCTCTTGTCCAGCTAATTGTTTATTTTATGGACGTCTGTTACCTCTTCGTTTCAATAGTCGTATCACCTTTCTGAATCTAAAATTATCAAGAACTTTTCAGTCCACCTTGTTTGGTAGATAATAGCTATAGTGCTATTCAACATATCAGATAAAGCTTGGAGTTGCAGACGACGACAACGAAAAAAAAAAAAAACAACACACACACACTAAAAAAACACCAACTAAAATAACATTAAATACTATATCCAATAATAAAAAAACAATATATATGAGATTTCTATTATTACTTTTCTTCTTTCTTCAAATATAAATGGGATTTCTCAATATAGATTATGTGGTAAACAATTTTTGTTCAAATGCCCAAAAGAGGTGAAGAGTACAATGGAGAATTTTATGGAATCGATCATAGACCGCTAAAGAGGAAGAAAGCATCGAGAATTTGTCTATACCATGAAAACATGAATTACCTAAAACTAAATTGGATTGAAAAGGATGTTAAGGTCTTTTCCTATAGTGAGGTCATTTAAAACTTCCACTAAATAAAAATTGTCTTCGCATCATGCAATAAATGTTACGAAAGACATTTTGTAATGCTTAGGCGGATGTTGAGGGTTTTGATGCTGTCATAGAGTAAAAGACTACGACAACATTCAATAATCATTGCGAAATGTCTTCAATGAACACTGTCTTTTGCAGGGCTAGGCAAATCTCCCGAACCGAACCAACCGAATCGAACCCGAACCGAACTTAACCGAACCCGACGGTTCTTGTCAAATTAAATACCCAAACGGGTATCTGAATTGAGAATCGACGGGTACAGTTCAGTTCTCGGTTCTAGACCAAGAACCGAATCTTTCTAAATTTTTTTTTATATTTAGTAAATCAAATTATTTTAATTATAATTTTGTAAGAAATGCCATTATAATCTCTATCTACTTCACGTAAATCTTTGGTTATATAGTGTCAATAATGTGAACATATGGGTCTATGATATGTTCAGAGTTGTAGTAAATCTTTTGAAACTCTTGTTCAACAAAATGTATCATCCAAATAATCACTAAGAGTCATACTTCAACAATCGAATTGATTGTCTTCATAAGGTCAAGTGTATCTCGACAAGAGCTAGAGTTACAATATGATTTATAATCTCATAACAACACTTGCACAAAGCAAAATATCCATTTTGTTTGGCAGGAGTTGAACTATACTCAGAGAGAGAGAAAAAAAAGCTAATTTTGTATCCGGTGCTGTTCAACGCTACTTAACAAATATCGCTCTCGATGCATGACATTTCCATGTCAATACTACCTAACGAGCTGTAGAATTAGGTGGATCAATTCCCATTGCCTCAAAATAAGCTTTTTCTGCAGCAGACATGCGATCTTGAAACATTGCCCACTCATTTCTGCACCTCTCTCTTACCTATACCAAAAATAAAGAAAGAAGAGGTTAAGTTTAGAACCCTTCACGTCCGAGGTCCCTTAAGCTTTCAAATCACAATTGGCTGGATTAAAAGTTACTTGAGTAACTTTTTATTTCCAATAATGGTTGGATATTTCACTTTTTTCTTAATCATATGAAGAGCGTGTACATCAAGATACGTATACGTTGAGAAAATAATAAAAGACCGGATTATAGTCAAGTTAACCACGTACCCCTTCCCATGGTGCCTTGCCATTTTCTGCTGTACCCTGTTGAAAAAAGATGTTTAGAACAGTAATTCATCGTGTAACTAATCCATTTTGAGACAAGATCTCATTCATACCTGGTTTCCGAGTGAAGGAACAGTTTGATGAACAATCCATTGAGAATCTACTACTCCTATTTTCTCATGAGCGGGCTGCATTCAAGATAAATGCAGTAAGCAGGAAAGGATAGCTATATATCTATTATTCAAGAAGGAAATGATTTACATTGTGAAAGAGAAATGCCGGCTTACCTCTACACATTTCCTAAGAGCAAAATCAAGACCCCATCCATGAACCAAATCATTCTGTAACAAAGAAAGTAATTTTTGAGCTTTCAATATCATCAGTAGATTGACAATCTCTTTTCCCTTTTTTTTTGGGGGGGTAGGGGGGTTACTGTATTCTTATCTTCGACTGTGATTTTTTTAATATTATAGGGATATATTGAACAATCATACATGTATCAAGTTGCTATATTCCTAGTATTTAAAGGACTTATTACTTATTAGGGGACCACAGTGAGAAAAAACTAGTATTCTTCTTCTCCATTGTGAGGAAAACCTGCAGCGACTAGTGGACGTAGCTTTTACATTGAGTTTGAACCACTATAATTTGTGTTTGCTTTGCTCATTTTCTCATTGCTTTACTATTTATTATTGCTCTCCAAACTAAGGATTAGAGTTTAATCAGTCATGGTTGCTGTACTAAAAACATGAACATGAACAAAAAAAACAAAAGAGTACTTCGTGCCTGAATCATATGCCAGACGCAGCGCCATGCATCGCGAGAAAATATGGGTGCCATGATCTCAACGAATCTGCATATGTTGGCCTTGAGTAAAGTTATGGATATTAATTCATCTACATAACGATATTGACATCAATTCATCTACATACGCTGCACAGGGTGGCAAATGAGGATCCTTGCACCAGCCTGGTCTTTCCTCTGTCTCTCTGTGAGTAGAAAATTTAGATAGTTATATTGTAAATGGAGAAAAACTAAACATGACCGATTAAGATAACCTGAGTTTTGCCTTCCTTACTTGTGAACTTCTGTGTCATTTCGCATTCTTGTCATCTGCCATGTCATCCCACTATCAGGGGATAAACCAGGCTGTGAAATATCTAAACCATGCTTCCTCACCAGTTTTATGTATCTGCAATTACATTGGCATTTAGGTTTAAAAAATAATTTGATCAACAGCCTATATATCAACGATAGGATATCAAATTTTTTGTCTCACTCCTCTGGATCAAAATTCTCCACCCCCAGGTCCTCGTCCCAGATAAATATGTAATCATACGGTGCAACAATGTCAGGGTGCAGAAAACGCTTGGCATACCACCTTGTAAGATAAGAAATATGTCTTACATACACCAGAACATCCATTACGACATATAATGGTGCACAAGAAAATGGAGAGAAAATGTGATTGTTGTTTACCATTTAGTTTGCTTCCGCACGCTCACATGGATAGCCAGCTTTGACCACTCAAATTCGTCCCATTCACTTGTCCGACCATCATAGTGAAATAAAAGAATGGTAAAGTTCTCTGTCAACTATACAAGCCCATTAAGTAGTGTGAGAGCTATATACAAATGCATAAAAGCACCCCTATAGAACAGAAGAATGGGGAATTGGCCTAACCTTTTTCACTATAGCATCAATGTTTTTTTTCTGCTCATAGCCGACGGTAAAAGTCACAAGATACCTTGATCTGACAATAATGTCCTGAAATGATCGAATTATTCAATCTAAAATGATGAAGGAAAAAAATTATACAGATCATTTCAAGCATACATTAGAACCGAAATGAGGAAAAAGAAGTAAAATGGCTCATGGATGCAGACATGAAAAGATGCACGCAATTTTTTCTTTTCTTATAATTCTTTAGACAAACTTCAGAGAGCTCTCAAAAATTCACATAAATGGCAGATGAAACAAGCCTATGATATGAAATTACTACAGAATAAACACACCTCATTGGGAAGACCCCACAATCTGCGGAGATATAAATCAGACTCGGTTACAACAATGCCTGGTGGCAGTCCCTCAGCACCTCGCGGATTAGTAGGAGCCCATATCTGCACAAAAATCACTTAGAAAATTATGGTGGATCAAAATGGGCTGAAGTGTTAACTTAAATTTCCACTCCTGCATATCACAATCTCTTCAAAAAAATCCAGACCGAATAAAATCTATAGGAACAGATTCCAGATTTCAGTTCTAAGATTTCCACATGTCATTCTTTAAATTACCCATATCGACTTGAACACTATAGATAGAAGGATGCAAGTTTGATTAGACCTGGACAAAAAAATTGAAAAATCAATCAAACTAATCAAACCGAACCGACATGGGTCGGTTTGATACAAATAATCGGTTTGGTTTGGTTTTCTTTTAAATAAAATCATGGTGGGTCGATATATTCATGGTTTGAAGCCTCAAACCGCTAGTTAAATGAACCAACCCAACCCACTCACACGTTTACCTTGTTTTAGGAAAAAAAATAAATAAATAAATAAATAAGCTCTTATCTCATAAATATATCTCAATTCCCTCCAATCTATAATGTTAACGATAAATAATAGCATTGAAAATTTCCTTTCACAGGCTCATTATGTTATACTTAACATTTTACTTGCTCAAGCAATTAGTCTACATAATATATAAAAAAGCAACAAAATTTTTTAAGTTTTCTGTTGATCCACTTCTATTAACCTAATTTTATTTGTTGTTCAATAATTTTTGTAATATAAATTTATGTTAGTTATTGTAATCTATGTGAGCCCAAAACTTTAACATTTTTTTTAATTCAATTTGGATTAAAAGTCCAAATTAACTAACCAAACGGTTCAGTTTAAGAATTAGAGTAGGTTGGTTTGGGTTGAAATTCACTCAAATCGACTAATTTGGTTATGGTTTCGGGTTGGAGTCTAAACCGACCCAAATCAAACCGCACCCAAGCCTAATGTTTGATGGAATTTTGGGATTAGCTTCTGAGTTACCATCAAGAACAAAAAAGGAAAAGAAGCTACAAGTACTAGACAAACACAATCCACAAGATCTAAATTAAAGCATACAAAGAATGATTTCTTCTCATAAATTTCAATCATTGATCTTTAACTACTCTACAAGGCAAGTAATCATCTTCATTCAGGTGAATAATGTTAATTGTTAGGATTAAGCCTTTTTCCCTGATTCTGTAAGCAATAATAAGCTAGAAAAAAATCACAAAATTGGCCCTAAAATTCTTTATATTTTTTATACCAATAATAAATTACAGCAACCTAATAAAGAATATGAATGCCCAATATCACGTCAATCTGAGGTAGAGGAATAAGTAAATACTATACTTAGGTTCCACAATGTCCAACAATTTGTTGGACAAGTCCGAAAAAGCATCCCACATTGGATAGATGCAAGGATAATCTCGAGTTTATAAATATAAGAGTATTTCACCTAATAAGTTAACATTTTGAGATGCAACCCACGTCCTAAAAAAATAATAACTTCTAAAAGAGAAGTTATTATATATTCATAAAAAGTCACAGCTGAATAATTGAACAAGGACACTTGGTTTGGCACCAGAAGCTTCTACTATTGCAGGTAGAAATTCGCTCTGCATTAGTGCAAAAATATAATTTTATGGCAAGCTTTTCAGCAGATTAACATCTCATTCGAACAAACTTCTTTTTTTGTCAAGGAACCTAGACACTTCTACACCATGAATATGCAAATTAAACGTTCATATGGCACTTACATCAAAGACAAAGTGAATACCTTGTTATTATTAAATTTGTGTGAGATGCCTGTGTTACGCTTAAGAGAAGACCAGAAATTTAACAGTGCTTGGGTTGAGAGACCCGAGTACTTGTCCTCGATGTGGGTAATATCAATGGAAGAAGAAACGCTGGACGGTATATTCATCTGGGAAAATCAGACATGCAACGACATTATTTCTTCAAGTCTTTGTTGAACTAAAATAAAATACCAAGAATTAGAAACAGTAGGTATGCTTGCCTTTGACAAGGAAACAGTAGGAAATGAAACACCTAAAAAGTAGCCGAAAACAAGCCCAACGAAGGTTGTTACAATCAGCCTCATTGTCTCATTTGGTCTTCTTATACCCAAGCTAGAGTTAAAAAGAAAAAAAAAAGGGAAAAAAAAAGGGAGTTGTTAAATCATTGATGCAATTTCAATACTACTTCAAAATTCAAAATAATCTATAAACAAAATTTCTAATTTACTTTGAAGCTGTGGACCTTCGAATAGGTGTCCCCATTTTACTCACAACCTTAGCTGAAAATAGGCAAGTAATGCCTCTCATGTATATACCATCAACCCTGTAATCCAAAATGAGATTGATTAATTTCACTACCTCAATTTTTAATGCAAAAATACCAGACTGAAATGAAAATTATCAACAATTATGGGATAAAAACAAGTAGAAAAAATACTTATACCATTACAAAATTAACCTACCGACAGGAAATTCACTTAAAATCCAACATGGGAATGAAAAAACCATAATTAATTACTGCCTCTATTATTTATTTAAATAACAGGGTGGCAATGATATCAATTATGGGATCCAAATTAAGTAGAAAATTCACTTGTATCACTATTATAACTGATGCAGGAATTAACTGGAAAAGTTCCCCATACTAATCTAACACTATTGGGATTGAAACTACAACCCAGAATCATATATTATTAATCTGAATGGTTCAGCTAACCAGACTGAAAATGACAACCAATTACGGGCTCCGAATTAAGTAGAAGAATTACTTATACCATTATAAAATCAGTCTACAGATGCAGAAAATTCACTGCAAAAGTTCCCATTACTAATATAACAATGTAGGACTGAAACTACTGCCCAGACTCGAGCATAATTTTTCTCAATGATTCAACTATTCAGAAAGAGATTCAAGAAAAGCATTACCAAAGATAAGCTATGGTTCATAATTGACTTACCTAATTAATGGAATTTTGAATTTTCACCTGAAAAATCAGTACTCTGAAATTTCAAAATTAGTGGGTCAAGCTTTAATCGTTTGAATAAACGATGTCGCCTTGAGGGGACCCGACCGGGGGGAGGGGGGGAGGGGGAGCGAGAGAGAGAGAGATGGCAACTTTCATTTGAAAAGTCTTGTGTTTGGACACGGGTTTAAGGAAAGGGTGGGGTCCAGCTTTATGCCACGTGTGATTAAAGCAAATTTCAAATTGATTCTCTTTTGATTGGTTAACGATGGATCGAGCGATTGGATTTTAGTAAGAGATTTCCAGGTCTCACAAGTTGAGATTTTAATTACATTTGGTTTTCTTGCAAGACATCTCAAAGGCTCCATTTGAGTCTCATTATTTCTTATTACATTAAATTAAATTTTTTTTTCTTACTTTTAATCACACAATTTTCAATAAAATAATATTACATGTTAATCAAAATCTTTTCAACCACTCATTTTTCAAAAAAATACTATTCATCTCATTATAATCTAAAAATAATGGGGCTCAAACGGGGGCTAAAGTTCTAATAAGTTGAAATTTTGATGATTTTCGTTTTCTTGAAGGGCATCTCATTATTAAAGTTTCCAAATAAGATATCAATCATTAACTTATACAAGTAGCTTTATTGTAAATTTTAAGTTCCAAACATGATTATAAAAGGTCATGACCCACCAAATTTGATAGTTCGACATGTGGCAAACTATCATTTGACAATTAAAAAAAAACAATTTTCCTTCCAATCATTTTTTTAATACAAAGCGCGGGTCAAGCATGACATACACTTTGAAATGTACAAATGACATTTTCCAAGAGCAGATTTTTGCAATCATTTCATTCATATGAAAATTGATTTTAAAAAAAAAATGGTCACTTTTTCAAAAGATGCTCAAAAATGTCATTTTTAAGTTCAAAAAATCCAATTTACTCCCTCAACACCTTTTTGTGTGCATTTAATGTATAATTAACGCTAAGATGTGATGGTTGTCTTTTTGAAGAATCCATCCATGTATAATGTAAATACATTATGAATTATAGAATTGTTAACCAAAAAATAATAATAATAATAAATTTTCATAATATTTTTTTCGATGATGAATTGAAATTTGCTCTTACAAAATACAAGTGTAAATCTTTCTTCCATTGAAATACCAAGCTTCAAATTTTAGTAGACTCATCTTCCATTATGAGGTTATCCTATACAATATGTTGAATGTTTTTTATTTTATAACTTAGTATTTTAGAATCTTAAATAAAACATGCTCATATTACTTTTTGCAAATTATTCTTCATTTATTACTTTTGATTAGTTTAGTAAACCATTTTGATAAAACATATTTAATTCAAAGTATAAAAAATTGTAAAAATCTTCCTATATAATATAGCATTGTGTAGATTCTTTGTCAAGATTTGGTCATTTGATAATTGAAAATTGATAAGCATACTTAATACTTCATGAATAATGTTTCCCCTTCACACACCTTAAATGCAAGCTTGTCGGATTCGAACGGTCAAGACAGACAATGCAAATTCAATATCGACATTTATAAACTATTAGGATAGATATTATAACTTTTCGTGTCTCTAATTTGTATCTGTTCAGTAGAATTTATTCGTAGGAACCTCTTGTATGCATTTAAATTTCGAAGTACTAAATTTGTGTAGGATGCTTATCATTTTGTTTGCCTCATTTCAAGTATGAGTGCCAATTTGATATTCATCGTGCTTGCATATTTAATTTATTAAAAGAAAAAAATATTTCCATAACATTGCGAAAAACAGTACATAGCATTCTATACATACGGTTGAACTTTAGGTCTTGACGGATTTTCTTTGACTCTCTGACAGTTTGGCCTTCGCGTGTACTAAACTTTACCAGTCCAACAAAATGATTGGTTGGGTACACAATTCTCAAAAATGATTACACTTCAACAAAACGACAATTTACACATAATGTAAAAACATAACATAGACAAAACACTTTCGATTACTAGAAACACCCTTCATCTATGTCAAGCATCATCAACATTTAACATGTCATTACCGTTATACTCCACCCCTTGTTGGAGCTAATCACAATAATATTGGACGATGGGACGTTTGGAATGTAGTCGTCGTTATCTAGATTGTATTTGTAAAGGAGCTTTACATGAATAGTTAAAGTTGGATTTTAGATAAGGTCATAACAAATTTTATCAAAAACATTAAATGTCCTATAGCGATACTGCTTGTCTACTATCCAATAACACTGTATTTGCACAAATAACATGAACTACACATATATGACAATTGAGCTAAATAGTTTTTCAAATAAATACAAAAACAAGACATGAATGTAAAAACTTTCAAAATAACACAAATAACAAGTTCAAAATGTTTCACATTGTTTTTCCAATCAAGAAAGTCCTATTACTTCATGTTCTTTCCTCTCTTCCTACCACTCCTATTGTAAGGAGTCGAGCTTAATAGCAATGGTATTCAGATGCACGTATCATCGGAACAGAAGTTGTTGATTGAGTTGGGCTAAAAGTTGAATGTCAGGCAAATTGGCCAGTAAATAGAGATAAGATCTTTGGAAGTTCGATTTCTAACCTGAATGCAAATTCTGTAGGATCGTCTTAATGAACTTCAAGTTGCTGAGCTGAGATACTTGCGCAAGTAGACTCTCATCTTTGGACAAAACAAACTCGAAATCAGTCTACAAAACCATTAACACAAATGAATTCCAATGGTCAGAGGATTATATAACATGCGTTTAATTCGTACCAGACGTAATGAAGCATCTGGAACAAGTTTGGCATTATATTATAACTATTGAGATACAACACATGCTAACATGAATCAGATGGTTAAATTCCTAAATTCAACCACGTGCAATAAATTGAACAACATTTCAATATACAAATTTAGCCTACATTTAAAGTTTACATTTGCTTATGGTGTAACCACCTACATAAAGATATTATCAATGACATATTTCATCATCCTATTCAACCACATTGCTAAAAATTCAACCACTATTGCTACCGGTATTCAAGCTTTAATAAATTTTGCTAAATGTAAACCCATAAGTACACGAATTGTTTAAGAAAATCTAAACAAGTCGTTGTCATGTGGTTTGAATTTAACGACAGTTAATCTTAAAACAAATTTTAGCAAATGTAAACTATAACAATGATTTGTTATAATGCAGTTAAATTTAGAAAAGTTCAATTTGCCTACACTTTTAGCAAATGTAAACTATTACATTATTTTCAAAATCAAAAATGTAAAAAAATAAATTTCACTCAAATATACACTACCTTAAAAATCAAAGAAATCCCTAAATCGTAAATCCCTAAATTAGAAATCCGTAAATCACACAAAAATATAGTAATAATCAGTTCTTATAAGCAACAAAACAAATTTGTTCCAAATCGCTGGAACTTCAAGAGCATCTTTTCCAATTTCAGAATTTTGAAAGTTTATAGGGGAGGGTAAGGGTTTTTGGTGTTTGACCTTTAGAACTTACATTTTGATTTGTTGCTAACGTAAAAAAATTATGGGATGTGTATTTGATATTCAAAAAATGGTCTCTTGTATGAAACAAATGCTAAATCAATGACACCTAGATGGTTTGGGATGAAGTATGGATTTGGTATATATAATATGAACTGTTTGAGATGATTGGGATGGTAAAAAGGTTAAAATTTGTGATCTAGGGTTTGGGCACATAATACGGTCGGTCAAGCACCACTGGGCCCCCCAACGAGTGCTCACAATCTGTTATGGATGCTTAAATGCCCAGAGGGCGGCCAGTGAGCTCTCTCTAGGCAGTCGTTAACATTTTCATCATATTTTTCTCTTCCAATATCAGATTGAGGCTATTCAAAGTGCATTGAAAAATTAACTCAAAGAATTCTTCTAGAAGTAGCATTTTTAAAATTTTAATGTTTTCTATTTGAAAAATATATTGCAATCTGTGACTAAGAATTTGGAGCATAACTCATGCGACAATTTGACACAACTTTGTCTTCTAATTATATCACATTGATCATATTTCTTGTACATCTTTGAGCTCTTTGACTCCATCAAGACTTATACTACCAACACTATTAACTTTTTTACTTTAATTACAAATTCATTAAGTTAATTTTGTTTATGGAGTAGCCAATAACAAATAGAGATCTAAAACAAGTTATTTTAAATTTTTAGGACAAAAAGATTCAAAAGTGACAAAAAGTGATATTTTTGCAATTGAATTAGTAAAAAGTGATATTGGATGCAATTTCCTCATTATAAAATGGAAAATTTACAAAAATGTCAAAATTCATGCTTGTCAATTGAAAAGTGTCTAATTTTGATAACTATTATAAAATGGTAAAATTTAGCGTCAAGATGTCCATTATGCTTTTAATGAAAAAGAAAAACAATTTTCATTGAGTGTGATACGTATCTCGAAGTTAACAAGTTGCTTCCATTAGAAGCTACAACAATGTGCTAGTTATTACCTAGCCCTTATTTGAGCTCCATTTCGGTGTTTTATGGTATAATAATTTTTTGAAAAATATGTGGTTAAAAAGAAACGAAAAGTTTTCAATTTATGTATAAAATTATTTTATGGAAGAATGTGTGGTTGGAAATGAGATTCAAAAAATGGGGGCCAAATGCAAGCGTTATGTGTCTATTTCTTGCATTATCTACTCGGTATTGACCAATTCTTCTAGGAAAAAAAAGGAAGAAGATGAAGTAGACAATCATTAACACAAACAAAGAACTATATGCTCTAACAAATAAGAAAATCACATAATTTTTATTTTGAGAAATTTAATTTTATCTAAATTTGCAAGTTGAGTGGACACTCTACAAATTTCTGTAAGATTATTGGAGTATTTTAGAAAAAAAAATTCATGTTCATTATGGTGTATTCCCCAAACATAATGTCACACCCTTCTTAAATGACTTTGATAGATAGGAATAAAGGTAGTTGTGTATTGATTATGTCATTAATGGTGAGAGCCTCTTCTTTGGAAAAGTTTAACAAGATGATAAATACATGTGGTGAGGTTTAAGCTCGATATATTGTTCTCGACACATCATAAACGTCGAGAATAATATTTTAAATTTAATTCCTGACATTTTTTCAAATGTTGAGAATAACAGTAAAAATTGTGTGAAGTTAGGAAATTTTGTTTTAGCATTTAAAATATTACGTGTGGGCAGTATATTCATTTTAAATATTTGTATATTAGTTGATTGTATTTGTGTTGATGGCACTCAGGTATAAGGGATATCGGGCCCGTTTGGTAGAGATTTTGAGAATTGATTTTTTGACCGTTAGAAAAAAAGTGAGGTCCACATGTGAGAGAAGAAGTCAAAAATTACGGCTTGAATAGTAAAATAACGGTCAAAAAATCAATTTTTTGGAGCAAAAAATCCTTACCAAACGGGGTCATCATGAGGTTTGTTGTCTCACACGATTGCACATTTATCGATGTGTACGACGAATGGAAGTGATTTGAAGCCGGACAACATCAACTGTCATTCGAAGTGACATTTGATATAAAGAGTTTGTCAATAAATTGTTCAAGAAGTTTAATGTTGATAGAATAAAGTTTTTAATCTACTTGAAATTCAAAGTTCCAAACATAAATATAACCCCGTTGATGTAGTCGACGATGAGGACTTGTAATGGTACATTTCTATTCATACATAGGCATGTGCAAGAGCTATGAATGATTCCTAATATGGAGGTACGGCGAGGTAAAGGAAATCGATAAATTGAAAATGCAATGCAATTTGAAGAACAAGGGAAAATACCGAAGAATTAGAAATAAACAATTACACACAAGGTTTCGACTAAAGGCTTTGACCAAGAAGTTTCATTCAAGGTTAATAAGTCAAATCTTAGAATTCTTACGATATGATGCATTAACAGAACTTGCCATTAGCTAGTGTGAGCTTCGAGGAACAAAAGTCCAACCATATTTAAGATTCAGAAGTACATACTTGAACACACATGTTCTTTCGTTGTATGGATGATGCAAACAAATCATAGTTCTCATAGGTATTATTGTGGATATGGAACGTGAGTTTAGTGTGCGGATTAGCTATAAAAAAGCATGGACAATTAAAGAGAATGGACCTGAACGGCTCTTTAGTTCACTTAAAGAGAGTTTTCAGAAATTACATTCATTCTGTCCCTAAACCGTTACACACATTGAGCTCATCAACAATAACATGTTCTTGTAATTTTTCTTAGCATTCAGGTTGAGTATATGTGATTTTCAAGATTACATAAGATTGATAATATGTATTGATGTGAGCCATTTAAAGGATCAGTAAAAAGAAACACTACTGGTAGCTGTAACTTAAGATGTCAATAAGCGAATATATTCTATTGCTTGAGATGTAGCCGATGGGGGAGACAAATGCATCATGGTAATAGTTCTTCAAAAAGTTGAAAGATGTGGTTGGGGACTCAGACTCAAGATCAGTTAGTGTTTGTATTGGATAAGAAGAAGAGCTTTACGTGAGAAACTACTATGTTGTTTATGTTTTCTTACCACAGTGTTTGCATGTGGCATATCGAAAAAAGTCTAATGTTTAAGTAAACAGTACTAATCCATGTTCTTGTTCAAGCGTGCAAAGTTAATGTACCAAAACTTTAAACTTGAGCATTTAATAGGATAGATCAGAACCATCTAGCCAGCGATAACTTCGTGCATGGAATGTACTGGTATATCTACCTGGTTATAAGCAAATTTCGATGATAACCAATCAACACTATGACAAAAAATAATGTGAGGATCCTAATTCAGTTCTCAAATGATAGCGTAGTTCTCCTACAACTTCGTTGGTTGAAGACATTCGGCTCATGATACTACAATAGTTCTTCGAGATGAGAAGCACATCTACCAAATGTCAGTGATACTAAAAATGGAGGGAGAGTTGAGAAATTCATTTAATGCTGGTACGAGATTATAAATACGTGATTTGGATGAACAGGTTTCAGAGGTTTTGTATAGGGACATACATGCTCATACCAAGAGTTTCAATTGCTATAGATTCCATGCACCCATATATCTTGAGCTATTTGTGTGAAAGATAAATCGCTATATAACATATGTTTTCGCTGTTATACCACAAAGTCCTAGTGAGTTGCGTGCAACAAAGTCATTTATCCCTTTAGAAAGGAGTCCGATTGAATTGTTCTATCTAGAATCTGTTCCATCATGTATCGTCCCAAATGTGTGTAGAGCACCAAGATAACCTAATACCCAACTTAAATGGTCAATAACTGAATGGTCGACAAGCACCTAAAAATTTGGACGATGTGGGCATTCTGGACAAAACAGGCAAACATGTAAGAACTTGACCCTGTTGAGTAATACATGCACTTGAGTGTATTTTAATCTTATTAATCGATTGTCATTCTACACATATTATTCTAGAAATTCGACGATTTAGGTATTAAGAATAATATATTGAGCTTAGAAATGTTTAAAAGTTAAGTTATATTAACTTGACCAAATCTTTATTATAGATCATGCCAACTTGGAGTACTTATATGCACAACAATAACAATGATACTAGAAAATCTAACACAACAATATAAACTCAAATAGAAAAATGCAAAAACCAAAACAATGAATTAAATACATCCACTCATCTCTTTTTTGGAGGCCGAAAATTAGTTCTTGACATTTCATATATGATACTCTTGACACTTGACGTTTTACCTTTCAAGGCCACCTTTGGTTAATTAGTTTTCATTGGTTGACATTTCATAACCTTATTGACATTTGAAAACTAGTTATCGTTATTTGGTTTATGTTAATCCCGACACCGACACTTCATCTCTCTTGAATGAGGTTTCATTCATAGGTTTTCATTTATTCTCTATAATTTATATAGGTCTTAAAATTTTAAAAAAAAATAGTTTTTGACATTTGTTATCTGTTAACCTCGACGCTTGACATTTCATTTCTCAGTGACAATAGTTCGACAATGGTAAAACTTTCTCTAGAAGAACTAAAAAAGAAGAACTTGAATCCATGTACCTCATCTCATCGCTAATAACATAACCAAACTGTATAACATACAAAACTCAAACGTACCAAACTTTCATATTAAAATCAAATTTACATCTAACTCTAAAACGACTTAAATTATTAACACAAACAAACCACTATGAAATATGATATTGTTTACAGCATCATCAATTATTGGAACTCAAGATGGTTCACCCAATAACATTTTATTTCTTTTGCTTAAGTTTACAAGAGGACAAGTTCAAAAAGTATTTTACATTTACTAGACATACCTCTTACCACTTTTACGATTGTTGCATATGTATAGTGTCTTTGAGCTTGCACTGGCATCTTAGGTATCAAGAATCGAGGCCTACATGACGATAGAGCATCATCTTTTGGGGGATTGTCAATGAGGGCATCACCGTCGGATGCTGGATCAATCAAACTATGCAATGCCTTCTTTTTACTTTCACGAACAATATCCTCCAGCAATTGGTTTGAACTCCTACATTTTTGCAACATGCCCTACGCAGCTATCCTCAAACTACCTCCTCTTATATAATTCGATAACATAAAATTCTCATGATACTGGGTATTTGTCCTTGCACAACTCCGTTGGTCTCATTTGGGATGTTAGGATGTTGATTCAAAATAATCGGTAATTAGTGTTCCGTTGTTGGAAAAGTTTCGAACTCATGTAAAGATTGATCACTAGTCTAAAACCACTAGGTTCGTGTATATATAGCTCTAGTGTTTCCCCAAAATTAGTCAATGCAGATTATTAGTTTTAATAATCATAGTCTAAACCCAAACCTTCAAAAATTTTCAACAGAAATACTAATTCTGATAGGCATTTCTAATCTAGCCTATGTATGGGTTGGAGATGCTTAAAAGTAGACTAAATCTCAAAGACTAATTTTGAAAGGCATTTCTAATCTAACCTTGGTCCATACTCAGCCAGAAGGTACAAGAGTTGAAGATTAATCACAAGTTACCTAGAATTATTATTTGAATTCATGTTAATTACACAAAAATATTACGTCATATATCATCAAAAGTACGTTCAAATAACTCTACTCGTCGAAAGTATTATGTTTTGAACAATGATAAAGAAAAATAAATAGTAAATACAATATAAATGACAAATATGCAACTCGTAGAATTTTTTATAACAATTCATAAGGCAAATAGGAGAAGGAAAAATAAATGTCCAAATATCATGAATTTTATCATGATTAGTACAAAAAAAATGCAAATAAGATAAGAATATATTTTTGTACCAGCAACAAAAAGCAACTGAATGTAAGTCCCTAAAAGATGTTATTCACAAACAAAAATAGGGAAAAATTCAAGAAACTAAAAACAATCATCCATTACCTTAACAATCTAGTTCTTGTACAAATGGAGAGACCATACTTTTTTTAATTCAATCAAATGCTAAGATTTCAATGGAAGAAATAACACGAAGATAATGATGATAAAGAACAATGAAGAAAATGGATTGTGAGAATTTGACCAGATAAAGAGCAATTGAGTAGAAATCGAAAGAGTTACAGCAATGAGTGACTACAAGCTCAAAATTGACATCAGGAAGATTTGGGCGGTTGGAGGAGCTGCAATAGCCGAAGTCTGAGATGAAGGGTTGAAATTTAGGGTTAGAGAGAGAAATGGTAAATGAATAGAATGTCTTAGATTATAATTGTGCTTCAATTATACGAGTCGGTTCATGTGGGTCGGGAGGAAATACATGGAAATGGCTGGTTTAACCTGACCATATTTCCACAATAGCCTTTGACCTTATAAAAAAAAAAAGTTAAAAAATTGAAATACATATACGAATTATCATTTGTCAAATTTGTCCTCATCTTCAATAAAAGAAAGTGAGAAGAGAAAAGGAGAAAAAAGAAATTTTTATACAGTCGGCTATAATAGTCAAATACGGTCGAGAGTTATCATCCCTACAATCTATCCAACGTCGACAACCAAAAAACTCGGTTGTTATCTTCTACAAGGTTAGTTTTTTAGGAATTTAAAAGAAAGATTTTCCATTTTGCATGTATTGTGAATTTGTGATTTAAATTGTTATTTATAATATTTATTCTTCGTTATTTGATAGATTATTGGTTTATGATTATTTTTTGCTAAAAAAGTGGATTAATCTCACCAAAAATGGCGATTCCTCACCATTTCAAGTGAGCACAGTCGGTGGGTGCCGATTGTGACAAAAGTCGGTTCACAACCGACTATTTAGTCAGCCCATTTTTTGTTAAATGGGTCAACTGTTCGGCCCAGCTCGTTTGGGCCAAAAAGTCAGCCATTTCTTTTCTTTTTTTCCCTTTTCCCTTTTTTTTTTTTTTTTTTTTTTTCCTTTTTTCTTTTGTTTTTCTCCATTTTTTTCCTTTTTTTCTTTTTCCCTCAATTGTTTTTTTCCTTTTTCCTCATTCTTTTTTCCTTTTTTTTAATTCATTTCGTTTAATGATAAAACATAACTTTTTTCAATTTTAATTAAATAATATTTATTTTAAATTTTAATTTTTTCAATTTTAATTAAAAAACTTTATAATATTTTTTTTGTTTTTGTCTTTAATTTATTTACTTTTTTATTAATATCGATATTAAATGAACCTACGTCTTGCTTATAGTAGTAACAATTCGGTTTGTTTAATGATCAGCATGCTGATATTCTAAGACAGTCGTTCATCTGGGCCCTTATGTAAGTTAAGAGAGGTGTTGTACTCTAGGCAGATCATCTATGCACTATTATGTCGGCTGCTCAGGCTAGTCGACGATAATGCCTTTCACTTCGATCTAGGTGGCAAGGTTGCTACTTTCTCCTTGTTTGAGTTTGGCTTGATAATTGGACTAAAGATTAAGGGCAATGAAGCAACTCGTGACGGTACTCAGAAAAGCAATAGGCTACACGACGCTCATTTCCAGGGATAAGTATCAGTGCTTCTGTAGCAATTGATTGGCATAATCAGGGAGTGCGACTTGATGTTAGATAGACTAAAGTTAGGATCGGTCTACATCCTTGAGAGCGTACGATATAAATTATGGTACGTTCTCGAGTATGATAAACTCTCTGTTATGAAAATTGGAATACCATCATGTATACCACTCATCTATTTCCATACCCGTTGATCATTTTCATCCAATTCAAAACCATAAAAGTAACAATCCAGGATTATTACAACAATATCTGCATGATAAAATATAATTTTCAATTATAAAAAAAAGGTTAGAAATTCGATTCAACCACAGTGGCAACAAAAATTCATTAAAAATTATAGCCAGGTATGTTGTGTGAAAGAATTCATTATGTAAATAAATTTCTTTCTTGTTGATGCTTGAAATGCTTTAAAAAATTTAATATCTGTTAAAAATTTGATCTACATGTTTATTTATGTTGAAATAAGATTCTATCGATTAAAAATGTATACAAATTTAACGAAAACGAAATCAAACATACGTAAACATACTTACCAATTTGAAATGTTTGATATAAAAAAATATTTTTTGGATCAGCGATCGATAAAATTCTGAGATTCTGAATTTGGAGAAAATGGAAGAGGGGAGAGTTTTTATCTGTTCGAATAAATAGATAAAAACGTTAGCTAACTTTGAAATTTTAAATGAGAAGTGTTTCATTTTCACTTGTTAGCTAAAAGGATAGTATTGTCTTTTAAACAAAACAATATTTCGTAATTGTATAATATACTTAAGGGCAACTTCGTCTTTTACGATCCATAAGGCCATTGTGGAAATAAGATTTAATTGAAAAGTCAAAGTGGAAAATACGGGATTTGACATGGTCAATTTTTAAAGTTTCCCATAGAGTCGATTTTCACGAGTTGACTAGTTAGGTGGGTTTTTTTGGCCAATTCTATCCTCAATCGACCCTATTTATGACAAGTGAGTCAGGTCGTATTCATGGTAAACAGTTTATTTACCTAATTCTAGGAAGAAGTAAACATTTAAGAGTCATACTTGGTGTACACTCTGCTCTACTCCAAGTTTGACAGTACCCTCTTATGTGAGGGGGCTCGCCACGAATATTTTATTAGTGAGGCCCCTTCATGTATAGAGGCTGTAAGCATGTACATCACACGTAGGGATGTCAATTGGGCCGAGCCGGCCCAGCTCGTGGAAAAGAGGCTCGTGGGCGGCTCGGGCTCGTGAAATCACGAGCCCGAGCACCAGCCGAGCGGGCCTCACCCGTAGACTTTCAATCATAATATGCCATGACTTTCAATCATCCGAGAGACGAGCCGCTCGTGGCTCGTCAAAAGCGATGAGCCACAAGCCGAGCGACTCGTGGCTCGTTGAGCCTGTGACCAAAACGATCACAAAAGTGACCGTTTTGGTCACTTTTCAGTGATCGTTCTGGTCATTGAATTTTATTCAGTGACCAGAACGGTCACAAAACTTTTTGCCCCCCCCTCGTTTTTACTATAAATACCCTATTCCCCCAAAGATTTTTTTCATATCAATTGCTCTTCCAAGATTACAACTCTCTCAACTCTTTTATTATATTAATTATCGAGTTTTTACTTTCTTGTGCTGCAAAATATACAATATCAATTCAATTTTTACTGTTTATTAGTTACAATTTCAATTCATCCAATTCTCAATTCTCAAAATCTCACTACATTTATATTCATCTGGTCAAGATTTCATCATAAACAATCACAGAAACAGATCAACGTTCATTGTTGAGAGCTTGTTCGATACAGGATGTGAGCCATTGCCACATCATGGAAAATCGCCTAGGACGCCGCAAAGTCAATTTTCAAATGAATTTGCCGGTCTAATTGACATACCGATACCTGAAGATGTTCACATTCACGGTCAGGGAAGCCACACTCTAATTGATTTGGATGATATTACCGTTCCCGAAGCGGAACATGAAGATGAAGATCAACAATTAAATATCCCAGATGCGAGGTGAAAGCGAAAGGCCAAAAAACAAGCAAAATGTTGGGATCACTTTAAGTTGATTTCAACGGAAAAAGTCGTTGATGGCCTTGCAGAATCTAAAACAGTATGTAAATACTGCCAACAAAGATTGGCATAGCAAAAATGAATTGGTACCACTCATCTCAACCGCCACTACAAATCATGTGCAACCAGACATGAACTTCTTCCAGTTGGTCAAACACAATTACAATTTGGCAGTCCAGGCGCCGGTTCTACAACTTCACCCCTATCCACGTGGGTATATTCGGAGGACGAGACTCGAACCGGAATGGTGAAATTTGTTGCCGCCACTGAGTTGCCTCTGGCTATTGTAGACAACCAACACTTCGTCTCGTTCGTGAAAGAATATCTACAACCGAGGTACGTTGGGGTAAGTCGAAACACTCTTCGTGCTGATACAATAAATTATTTCAATAATTCAAAACAATAATTAATTATGGATTTGCAACAATATGGGGGTGTTATATCCTTAACTTCTGATATATGGGAAGGGGTTAATAAAAGAGCATATATAGCTGCAACCGCACACTATATAGACCCACTTTGGTGCATGCATAAGAAAATTATTGCTTTTAGAATTATTGAATTTCCTCACAATTCTAATAATATATATAATGCTATTACCGGTATTATTAAAGAATATCATTGTGAGAGTAAAATTCGATCTTTTACTTTTGATAATGCTAGTGTTAATAAGGTAGTCGTTGATAAATTGTGTAGGACACTTCAACCTGATTTTGGTGGGTATTTGTTTCATATTCGTTGTGTATGTCATATCTTGAATTTAATTGTGCAAGATGGTTTAAAACATATAAAGAATGAATTTCAAAGGATTAGGAATGCATTAGTATATATTACGATCTCTCCTAGTAGAAAACAAGAATTTGAAGATTTTTGTGCCGAACTAGGGGTGATGACTGCTAAAACATTTGTTAGCGACGTAGGTCATAGATGGAACTTTACATACTTGCTATTAAAATCATGTGAAGGTTTTAAAAATTTAATAACTGACTTTTATAATAATAGAAATGTTAGAAGTGATGATGATGGTATGTTAAATGAATCCGATTGGATTTTAGTTTTGAAAGTTAAACGATTTTGACATCTTTTTATGAGACCACAAAGATTTTATCTGGCGTTTATTATTCCACAAGCTGTATAGTACTTGAACACCTTTATATAATTGCAAGAACATTCCATAAATATAAAAATGATCCTACTTTTAGTGAAATTTTAATTGCTATGGAATTAAAGTTTAGAAAATATTGAGAAAAACTGCCTATGTTATTTCCTTTAGCATGCGCAATTGATAAGTATGTTTTTACACACTTATTTGGTTTACAAACATGACTTAAACATGGATAAAATGGGTGAATTGTGGCTTAATCATATTAAATTCATGCAATGTAGGTATTTCAATGGAAATTGTGGAATTCAGGAGAAAAGAGTCGAAGAAAGACCAAAACGCAACAAAGTGATAGTTCGAGGACCAAAAGTGCAAATATTGAGAAGTTGAGATAAATGCAAAATGAGAGTAAAAACATGCCAAGTATGAGCTCAATGACAAAGCAAAACAATTGGAAGAAGAAAGTATTGAAGAGGGACTGAAATGAAGATAATTGAAAGTTGGAGGACTAAAGCGCAAATACTCAAAAGATGTGCCAAATGAGTGGCATGAGATTTGATAGTGTCAATCATCAATTGGAAGATAAAATTTGTTGAAAAGATGAAGAAATCGAAGAAAGA